ACTGGCCCTCTGAGTCAGCATCGGTGCTTTCCCTCTTAGCAGAATGACTCTCGACTTATCCTCAGATCATATCAAAATACATAATTTTGGCCCCCAAACCTGCCCTCAGCTTATACATGAGTATATACAGTACACTGTAAATGACTTGAAGGCACATCTTCATCTTCCTTTCCCCACATCTATAGTAGTATTGACTAGAATGGAACCCCATTCTTTCCCAATGAAAGCTTTCTTGGTCTGCTTATTGCAGACAACACAACCCCAGAAGGTGTTTCTTCAACCCTTTTCCCCCATCCTTCCAGTGTTGATGGTACTTTTAAAACCTTCCATCTGAACAAAGGATAAGGAAGAGGCTGGATGGATATAAAGCCTATGAAAAAAAAATATTATTTTTTTATCAGAGGCTTTGCTAACCAAGTTATGTCTGGTTTCACCTTTGTTTTCAGGGAGTAGCTTTAGACATCTGGCCTACGGCCTCAAAGACCACATTTTAAAGAATGCATGACCTCCAGATCCAAGCTTAAGACTTATGAAATGGATCTAGGTAGGTAGAAGAATGTACCAGCAACATAAAGAGAATACCAATCACGAAGGCAAGTTTATATTAGCTATTCACCTTGTTTCCCATGGTAAACCTTAATGCTACTAGTCAATGACCTCTACACACAACTGCTGTACTGCTATCTTATTTACACAGAGCTGCTATAAATACAACACATATAAGTTCTTGCTACCATTAAAGAACAAATATCTCTACGGTCAAAACAAAGGCAAATAATGTTACGATCACCTTTCCTAACACTATCTGTATAAACAGACTACAGCATGTTTCTAAACATGAAGACTGTTTTAGTGTTTACATCTGGAAGAAGCAATCGGTGCAAATCCTCCAGAGAAGAAAGCAGTGCAACTATACCAGGAAGCTAAAAGGCAGCATATATCCTTATCCGCCCCCATTCCTTCTCAACAGAAGCCCTCTGGAAAACTTGTCAGACTATATCTTAAAGATGCACAAGAATGAGAAAGCAGTCATTTCACTCCAAATTTAGCCAGTCATCTTCAGTTTCTTTAACATACATTCCCCTAACAGCAAATTGGGTAGTAACAGAAGCTGCTGAAATAGATTCATATGCAAATTGGCTTCAACCTCAAGCCTCTAAGATTGCTACTCAATGACAGAAAGATGCCAGAGAAGGCAAAATATTGTTAACTATGACAAAGAAGGTCAAAAGAGGTACAGGTAGACAATGTCCTCACTCCTAATTACATACAAGGCCTTGCATTTATGTACATCATTTGGACTATTAACTTTATCATGTGTGCATCCGGTCTAACCTGATTCTAATTAAAATAAATGATAATGTGACCAAACAAGAAAGTTAAACCAGAAGATCAAGTACTCAAAACTGTACTAAGTACTCTACATGCCATCTAAAGCAAATTATTCTTTTATGTGATAGAATCAGCTTTCTCCCTGAGAAACACTGGTCCAGTCATCAGCTCATGATTATTAAACTGTTTAGACAGCAGTGACATAATACTAAAGCATTTTTAAATCAGGAGAACGAACTTTTGTCTCTCTATATATTTTGGACTTCAATTTCCCATAATCTTGGTTGGCACAGTAAATGAAGCTGCAATGTTGCAAGACTTCACCTCTATCATCCCCATTCAATTTAGGAGTAATCCCGCACAGCAAGTATTCTCTACCCTAACAAAACTTTGCTTGTTCAACTTTATGGCTGTATTTGGACAAATGAACACTCACTGAACACAACAGAATACCATTTACTTAATTCATACATTATGCATAATACATGTACTTCTTTAGAGCCTGATCTTTCCAAAGCAGTTTATAAATGGTATAGCAAGCATCAAAGGAAATTTAATGGCAACTTTTTGCTCTTTCTTTAAATGAATGAGAAAACCAACTAGGCAGTCACAATAAATCATAACTCTAAACAAGAAGTACAAAAAAGGGTAGCAAACAAGTTAGGATGTAGAAGCTTTGGCTCCATACCGTGGTTTGTTTAGAAACTATTAGCAGATTGCCACAGATCTATTTTTTCAGTGGCTAACTCAGCTAGCTGTCTTGGAAGTAAAACAAAGATCTTATTTCCACTGAAAATGACAAACAGATAAACAACAGAAATATCTTCAAAGCAACAGAAAAAATATAGCTTTTGTTTAATAAGAGATAAGATTTGCTCCCTACTCTGCTGTTCAAATCACAACCCTCTTTCAAACGAAAGAGGGTTGGTAGCAACCAAAAGTCACACTTAGTAAACCAAATCCATGAATCAGTTTCCAGTACAATAATTATTACATATACTCATGTATAAATAGACATATACAAAGCAAGGGACAGTTTTAGGGCCAAAATTATAGATTTTGATATGATCCATTGATAAATATTATGCAGAGAGAAGAAAACACCAATATCGGGCTAATACCATCATTTCCACAGACAGATATTCAAAAAGGCCTGAAGTGGCATCAAAATGGATAGAGTAAAGGGAGAGGTCAGTGCTTCCTTAAGGTGAATGGTTCTCAGCCTGTGAGTCTCCAGATGTTTTGGTCTTCAATTCCCAGAAATCCTAACATCTAGTAAATGGGATGGGATTTCTGGGAGTTGTAGGCCAAAACAGTCAGGGACTCACAGGTTGAGAACCACTGTTTTAGGTTATCTTGGCTTTCAATACTTTACTCGGAGAAAGGGATAGTTTCTTTTTTTATAAGAGTAAAGACAAGTACTCACAATGATCTGTGAATAAGTCAACCCAGGGTTTTTGGGTTCACTGTTAACTAAAATGTCTAGACTTTTACATGGGTATATAGGGCAAATGCACTTTCCTACTTTGTTGTCTCAAATAAGGAATCAAAAGCAAAAAAGCAAGATCTGATCATCAGAGCATACAAACACTTTTAAGCATTTACATTGTAAAAACTTAACACTAGAGTAAAAACCGAAGAAACTGCAAATAAAACACACTGTATAAGTCTTAAAATAATGGTCATGAAGACTCATTCATGTAATATTAATTACTACAAAACAGTGATGACGAACGTTTTAGAGACAGTGTGCCCAAATTTGGGAGAGGGGCAAGTGGAGGGGTGGTGAGTGAGCAAGGGGGCAGGTGGGCGAATAAGAGGGCGGGCAAGTGAACAGGGGGGAGCAGAATGTGTGCCAAGACAGAGGCCCTGCGTGCTCATCCTGGCATGTGTGCGACAGGCTTACCACCAATGCTATAAAGGATATATAATCCAGGTCAAATGCAGGGACAGAAATGTTAGTACAATAATTTTCAACTTTCAGACCAAAGACAAATTTTGAATAATGTGAAACCCATTTCTTTTTTTTAAAAAAATCTCTAAAGACCTTGCCTTCATGCTCTTCCCATGCCCGTTGTTATTGTTGCCATGTCCGTTTAAGACATTCCAACTTATGGTGACCCTAAAGTGAACGTCTCACAGGGATATCGTGGTAAGATTGTTTCGGAAAGTTTGCCTTTGCATCGCTTTGCACCCAGAAGATTGGAGTTTTGTGGAGATCAAAGGTGGAATACTTCCAGACTATAAAGATAACTCAATGAAGTTTTACAAAAAATAACTTTTTCATCATTTAATTTACTGCCCAGTGCTGTTGTAGAGATGAGGTGAGACAACACTGTAAAGGATGAATAAAATCTAGCCTACACCTATGCCAATACTCATCATATGTGGGATTCTTTTTGAACCAGAAATGTGCCTACTTCTACTATATCTCAGTGATACATAGCAGTTGGTCACAGCCACTACCAAATTTAGGAGGTCTGGCACACAAACATCTAGGTCACCTACCTGGTTGTAAACAATGTCACACATTTCTCTAGAGAAAAGGGAGAGTACAGATGTGACAAAAATAATAAGAACAGTAATCATGCAAATTAATGTGAAAGGTAATTTGTGGAGAAAATAACTCCTGGATTTTAAAGATTACTGAGTAGATCCAGAACATTTACAAACATTGGTCATTTCTTTTATTTAAGTGATCCTAAGGCAGTTAGCGGCTTCTTCCAATAAACATTTAACAGTTCAATGAACTGAATAACTCTTAGCAAAAGGTTAATTCATTTTTCTTAGTGACATTCCTCACTATATCACTCATAGAGCCCTATCATGCAGATTCAACTGAAAGAGGAGCTGCAAATAGAGCCCTAGCTTAGTTCTAGTGATTTTAGAAAGCTGAATTTTCATAATCAATACATAAATTTTCATCACACTGAAACTTGGAACAACTACATCCTAAGAATCCCCAATCAGGATTTAAAGGTTTTATGAGCAGCTGAGGTATACTTTCTAATGCTTACTCAGAAAGTAAACCAAATACATGATTGGTTCTGGCCTCCACCTACATATTTGGACCTACTCCAAGATGCAATTAAAATTAAAACTGATGTGCCTTTTTCTCAAGATGCAATTCAGATCCTACCAATTCTTGCACCATGTCTCAGGTATTAAGATATCACAAGAAAGAAAGACGACCCATTGTTAAAACAACCTTTAGTCACTGCAGTAGAAATCAACAAGATCAATTGCAGATCCCTTATAGCAGGGGAGGGCAACCTACGGCCGTTGAAATGTTGCTGGGAAGAGAAAGAAATGTATGGATCCAGCAATTTTCCAATACACGAGACAAGGAGAATGGGATCCATTGTCACAGGTGCAGGAGTGCAAAGAAAAAGCTACAAGATACATAAAAATGCTAGAGAGCTAAATGTAAACAGAACTTTTTCAAGATAACTAGTCAAATTGAAAATTATCAACACGACCAAAACTACAAGTCTTGACTCTGTCATCTCTTAAACTGAGGTTTTTAAATAGGCTGAGCTTAGGATCAGGGGAAATTATTAACATATGTAAAAGGGCAAAAGTTACATATGTAAAAGGGCATTGTATTGTTAAAACCAACATAATCTTTATGAATAGAAATCTACTAGCTCAAATAACTTGTTACTTACTTTTGAACTAGATTGTTTTGTCCATCTTACATATTATTTGAGGCAGCACTGGATTCTGTTGAAAATAAACCTACAGGAAGATTTTAGACAATGTAGTTTAGAACTATTAAAGCAAGGAAGAGTTCATTGTCTTAATAAAACTAGCCTTGGAATAAAGCAAGATAGATCTTAAAACAGTTATCAATCTGTTTTTCTGAATGTACCATTCTTTTGAAAAGTAAACTGTTTTAAAGAATGTTCAAAAGATTAATGAAAACTTAGGCACCAATCCCCAAGCACAAAGGTCCAAGAGACGGTAGTGTGATGCCCTGCCAGTGATCAAGTGCTACACTAAACACCAAAACTACTGCACAAGTACAGTAATAAGATGTCCAACTTCTCCAATAAACCTCAGGTATAGCAACAAGGGGCTTTCACTGGGCAAGATCAAAATGTAAAGGGACAAATGTTTCCATATCCCTACTGCATAAACAAACTGGTAAGAAGCCATGAAAGAATTTAGTGGATATCTGATGGCAAGCCAGTCCAGTTTAACATCATGCCATCTGAATTTAGCAAATTAGATCACCTTCACTTTTGCACAAAGAAACTGCTGAAATCCTAAGAGTGACACAAATTCAACTAGAACACAAGTTAATCTTCTTGAATTCATGCATTAGATCAATATGCGACTTAAGTATACTGCCAAATGAATACCAATATGAATGTACAGTAATTGTCAAATGTTAAAATACTATTTCTTTTACTTTTAACATTAATTATACCCATAATACTAATGTAAGTAAAAAATAAATGAACATCTTCAACTTTTTACCAAATAAAAAATTAAACCAACAAAATGTTTGTTATACTTACAAAATCCAAGAAAACTGCACAGATTGGCATTAACTCTCTATGACTTTTGTTTTCCAGTTTGTTTCCTTTACAATATATCTCGAGTTCCTTAAAGATACTACATCCGTAGTTATGCAGTACAGGTCTGACCCTTGGAAATCAGCTACCCATTCTTCACATTTAAGGACTCCACAAAGTTATTTCCAGAAATCAAACAGGTCTAATTTTAAAATCTTGTCGTATTTTTTGAAAAGTTGATGCTTTCCTATTCCATGTATATCTCACTATACACTTCTTATGACACAAAGAATAGAACTGCAAAGTCAGATTCTGCATCGGAGTTGAAATACATTTCTATGAGTCAATTCAGGCATCTGTACACAGTAGCTATCTCGATGTTTCCATATTGCTTCCTTACTACATCAAAAAAATGCGACAAATGTAAACAAAAAATAAAGATCTTAATCTCTTCATTAGGAATCAGGTTTCATTGCAAAAAAAAAAAATCAAAAATGGTAAAAGTTGCCAGAAATGTTCAGACACTACATTTAAAGTAATCTTGTACTCCTAGTTGGCAAAATGAGTCAATCTCCTCAGAAATTTCTAAATTATAAAGTAAAAATACTTTTTGAAAGCAACATGCAGAGGCTAGGCTTATGCAATTATCCATTCCATATGGGCAAAAATTAGTCCAAGATGACTTCTTCAGTTTGGGAGGAGGGAAGTTTCAAAAGTCCATGAGCTGTTCAAACTGGTTCTGAAGGCATTAAAATTGTTTCAAGAGAAACGTGTCTGAATTTTAATTCCACTTTTTTAGAGTCAGCAGTCTTCCATTCGACCAAAGCAGAAGTTGCATATAAACATCCAGCAGGTTCTTCACAAATTGAGGCAAGAAACTGTAAGTTGTCCAGGCTCACGTTTGGAATCCAGGTCACCTACAATTGGAGAACAGAAGCAAAACACAGCAATCATTTCTACTCTCTAGACATGGTATTTATGATCTAATTAAATTTATATCCTGTTTCGATCTAGTACAGAATCTCAAATATTCCCAAAAATAAAAAATAAACAAAGCGATCCCTCTATTAAAAAAACAGCTAAAGAGAAAAGCTCAATTACTGATCTACCCAAATCACTTTCTCCATATACAAAGAACGTATTTTTCTCAACATATAATCATATGTAATTGAAATAGTGCCAAAAATGTGAGAAATCTCAATGCAAGGCTTGCAGAGAACCCCACAATCTTGCATGCAACCATAACTGGAACAACAAGAGTATTTCAGAACTAAAACATGTACAACTGAAGCTCCGATGACAAGTTCCTCTATCCAGTTTCTCTACAGAAAAGTGACATTGAAACCAACCAAGAAACGAAAGTAGAGCAACAAAAACAAGAGAGGTATGGAAGCCATCCTTTCTATTTACCTTGGAGTATGTGCCACTGACATCATAGGGACTCGCTTTCAACTACGCACACAAAAGCATGGACCTGCAAGCCACCAGAGACAGCATCTCTAGGAATCACCAAGCAAAGGAAAGAAAGAATCTGGTGAAAGAAAGAAAACCTGTGAGTGTAAGCCTCTAATTAGGGGAATATGCAAATATTTCCTACCAAGGTTTTACTCTTTCTCCTCCCATCTGACAGCCAGGAAAGGTCTACGACTTCTTCATGCTTTCAATAAAAAATCTGAACAATAACAGCTATATATTATCTCCTTCAGTTTTCTTCTTTAAACTCAGTGCTACATCTAACTGCTCTTCAAAATCTTTACCTAGGGAGGGCAGAATGGCAGGTCAAAACTTTTATTCTCAGACCCCTTCCACAGAGCTGAATAAAATCCCACATTTACTACTTTGAACTGAAATATATGACAGTGTGGTCTCAGATATCCCAGTTCCAAGCAGATATTGTGGGATTTTGTGCCTTGATATTCTGGGTTATATGGCTGTGTGGGAGGGTTTTCTGATAGGTTTTTTTAGAAAGAACATTTATAAAACTGAGACAGGGTACTGATGGCTGTCTATGTATTTTAACATGTTTTTAATTATTTTAATTGTTTTAACTACTTTAACTATTTTAATTATTTTAACTAGTTTAATTCTTATATTTATATGTTTAAAGTTTTAAATTGTTAACCATTTTGAGTCTCTTTTTAAAGAGGGGAAAGGCAGGATTTTTTTTTCCACGTCAGGAGCAACTTGAGAAACTACAAGTTGCTTTGAGTGTGAGAAAATTGGCCGTTTACAAGGACGTTGCCCAGGAGATACCTCAGATGTTTTACCATCTCTCATGTCTCCACGTGAGAAGCTGGAGCCGACAGATGGGAGCTCACCCTGCTTCCCTGGATTCAAACCGCTGACCTTTTGGTCAGCAGTCCTGTCGGTACTAGGGTTTAACCCAGTGTTTCTCAACCTGTGGGTCCCCAGGTGTTTTGGCCTACAACTCCCAGAAATCCCAGCCAGTTTACCAGCTGTTAGGACTGTGGTTTCTCAACCTGTGGGTGTTTTGGCCTACAACTCCCAGAAATCCCAGCCAGTTTACCAGCTGTTAAGATTTCTTGGAGTTAAAGGCCAAAACATCTGAGGACCTGCGGGTTGAGAACCACTGTGTTAGGATTTCAGGGAGTTAAAGGCCAAAACATCTGGGGATCCACACTTTTAAACTGAGAACCACTAGTTTAACCCACTGCACCACCGGGGGCTCCTGGGATAGAAATAACAATATAATAAACAAAGCTTGCCTGATATTTCACATACAAGTTGCGTTTCCTTTACCAAAAACTGCTTGGGAACCTGAAGTGTTGTGGATTTCCATGTTTCCCCCCCCCCCCCCACAGGATTTTAAATACATTTGGCCTGCCCTCTGTGTCTGGTTTTACTATGCTGTTTTATATTGTTGATTTTGTTATTTCATATTTTGTTATTGTGTGTTTATTACATTTGGCCCTCCCTTTGTTTCTGGCTTTACTATGCTGTTTTATAATGTTGATTTTGTTATTTCATATTTTGATATTGTGTATTTATTATGTTGTATTATTTTGGGCTTGGCCTCATGTTAGCCGCCCCGGAGTCCCCTTTAGGGAGATGGTGGCAGGTTATAAATAAAGTATATTATTATTATTATTAAAACTACGAATAATTGATTATCTTGGGGACAGAACCCAAGCCTAGGTTTAGGTTTCAAATACACCAAAAGTCACAAATGATTACTATTTATGAGACCTCTTTTTCTCAATGTGCAAAACGGTTTCAATATATAGTAGTCCCTTTTGTTTTTAATTTGCAACACAGTACACACACAGGGAATAAAATTACACCGCATGCAAAATATATTTGTTTTCAAAAAGTTATGAAAACACCAGGCGCCTTTGTGACGGTTGGCCCACCTTGTGCATATGGCCTGAAGGTAACTGTAAACACCACGCGTGGGCAAACTTGGGCCCTCTGGGTGTTTTGGACTCCAACTCCCACCATTCCTAACAGCCTCAGGCCCTTTCCTTTTCCCCCTCAGCCGCGCTGAGGGGGAAAAGGAAAGGGCCTGAGGCTGTTAGGAATGGTGGGAGTTGGAGTCCAAAACACCCAGAGGGCCCAAGTTTGCCCACGCGTGGTATACACAATATACAATATATAAGGAGGGCTTATATGATATACACAATACAATATAAGGAGGGTTTCAGCCCTGGAGGTTTCAAGCCCTCACACAAACACACGACACAGACACAAACATTGTTGTTTCTTCCGGTACCTCTTCTCTCGGCCTGTCCCGACCAGGTTTAGAAAGCAGCAGTAGTAGTAGTCACTCAATCCAAATCCCGACAATATCCTCACCAAGCTTTTCCCGAAATTATTATTTGCTTTAATTTCCTTTTTCTTTGGCGTCTCTCTCTCCCTCCGCCGCGCGCTTCAAGCGCCTCAACTCCTCGCTCCACTCACTTCGTCCGTCCCAAAATGGCGCCGCTCCGAGCCGCAGAAAGCGATGCCCTCAGCCCAAAGTCTCGCGAGAGCTTCCCTAACAACCGCCGCCTGTCGCCGAAGACGCGGCTGAGAGAGGGCTCGAGAGCGAGCGCGCGCGCGAGACAAGGAGAGAGAGCGACTTTGCTGACGCTGTTTTGAGGGTAGCACGCGCTGGAGAATCGCAGGCGGAGGACGTTTCGTGGAATCCTCATGGTCCTAAAGCCCGCTTAGTTCCCTCGCCTGTCTTTACTTTGGACTGGACTGAAGATAAATGTAAATAAGCCCACCAACCTTGCGAGCCTTCCCCGGCGGCGTGACGTCACTAGGAACAATCCCGAACGTTCGAAGGGGATTCCCCGAACGCAAGCAGCCAGGTGGCGCATGCGTACTCGGATCCGCCTTGCTTTTTCCTCTATTGGGAATCCCCCCTCCCCTCCTGAAAAGAAAAGACAGCCAAGGAGGCTGCAATGAAGCGCATCAAGGACGGGAGTTTTTAATTGCTTCTTCCCAGAATGTTTTGCTGTTTCTATAAATCGATGATTCATTTATATTTGATTCGTAGTTTCCTTTATTAAGAATTGTGTAAATACACCAGCCATCCCCTGCCACGTGTTGCTGTGGCCCAGTCTGTGTATAGGTGTTTTTTGTGTGTGTATATATTTGTGTATATGTGTATTTTTGCTTGCGTTTGTTTGCTATGTGGTTTTGCACATGCGTTCTAATGTGTGTATATATTTGTATATATGTGTTTGTGTGTGTTTATATATGTGTGTGTGTGTATATATGTGTGTGTATATACATGTGTATATATTTGTGTATTTCTGTGTTTATATATGTATATGTATATTGTGTATGTGTGTGCTTGTGTATATGCATATATGTATGTATGTGTATATGTATATAGATGTTGTTGTTCATTCGTTCAGTCATCTCCGACTCTTCGTGACCTCATGGACCAGCCCACGCCAGAGCTCCCTGTCGGCCATCACCACCCCCAACTCCTTCAGTGTCAGTCCAGTCACTTCAAGGATGCCATCCATCCATCTTGCCCTTGGTCAGCCCCTCTTCCTTTTACCTTCCACTTTCCCCAGCATAATTGTCTTCTCTAGGCTTTGCTGTCTCCTCATGATGTGGCCAAAGTACTATATGTGTGTATACATGTGTATATATTGTGTATTTCTGTGTTTATATATGTATATTGTGTATGTGTGTGCTTGTGTATATGCATATATGTATGTGTATATGTATATAGGTGTATATGTGTATATTTGTGTATGCTTGCATATATATGTGTGTGTGTGTCTGTATGTATGCATGTGTATATGTGTATGAACATATGTGGGGGGAGGGGGGTTTGTGTGTTTTTAGGACACTCGGCCTGAGAGGTGTATTGTGTCCAAATTTGATGTCAATTCGCCCAGTGGTTTTTGAGTTATGTTAATCCCACAAACTAACATTACATTTTTATTTATATAGATATTTATATAGATATAATAATAATAATAATAATAACATTTCGTTGCTATTTCATGGTTTTCAAAGTAAATAAATAAATAAATAAATTTTCAGAAGAATTGACCCGGGGGGGGGGGGAGGGTGTTAAACCAGATTTAAAGTCCCCTGCCATTTGCTGCTGTGGCTGGAAAATAAAGTAATGAGAAAGCCATCCATCTTGCCCTTGGTCGGCCCCTCTTCCTTTTTCCTTCCCCTTTCCCCAGCATCATTGTCTTCTCTAAGCTTTCCTTTCTTCTCATGATGTGGCCAAAGTACTTCATCTTTGCCTCAACTATCCTTCCCTCCAGTGAGCAGTCAGGCTTAATTTCTTGAAGTATGGACTGGTTGGTTGTAAAATACATTTGTTTAAAACTGACAGAGTAGGCCTGCTGTAAGAGATAATAGGTCTAATTATTTTCAAGTTCTGAAATCCAGGAACAGCTCTCTATTCTTGCTGATGGTAGGTTGACTTTTTAATGTTATGGGAAATGCTGAGTCAAAGTTTGGGCCACAGAGTTGTAACATTCACCCCTCAAAAATAATGCAGGTTTTACACTCTTCCTGATGTCCTTGAGTTCGATTTCTGGAAAGCCATTCTCTGCAAATACCTATTGGGACACTTTCCTCCAAGGCCAAGTCTCCCATGCTGTTTTCCTTCTCTTGGCTCATCTCTTTGGTTCCTTGTTTCTTGTTGGCTCTGCTTCTCTCGCTCCACACTTCCAATGTCTATTTTTACTTCCAGCTCTGCTTCAGCATTTTTCCACCTCCTGCATCAAGCCCTCTTCACTCACTTATATAAAATTGCAATTTTGCTTTCACTTTCTGTTCTCTACAGACTATTTACATGTCTAAAGAAAGGAAACTTAGCCATTAACTACACAAATCAATAAAAAAACAATGAATTGTCGCTTGACAGTTGGCGATTAAAGTTGTTTATACACAATAATCTCTGGATCTTATGCCAAGGACCCAAAATGGTTATGCCACTTATATTGACTATTTTTTAATTACCTATACCTGTGAACATTAAGGAAAGTGCTACAATACCTGATGTACTATTTTCCAAAATAGGCATTGTAAGTACTGGTAGTCTTTATTAGAAAAGTCCAGAATTCAGAATGGTGTAATCATTAGTAAAGGAAATGAGTAATAGTAACTTTCTGCTTATGTTAACATGTTAATTGCTCTCTGGGTGCATCTACACTGTAGAATTAATGCAATTTAACATCATTTTAACTGTTGTGCCCAATGCTATGGAATCATGGCATTTGTAGTTTTTACTTCTCCACCAAAAGAGTGCTGGTTCTTCAGCAAACTACAAATCCCAGGACTCCATAAAACATCATTATCAAATATGTATTTCCCCTTATAACTGAATAATTTACAATCTTAATAGAAGAGACAGCCGCAGATTGTAAACTTGAGCAAGTGGCTAGGAGAATATGTGCTCCTTTGAGTCCCAAACTATTTAGGACTTAGAATCATAGAATCATAGAATCAAAGAGTTGGAAGAGACCTCATGGGCCATCCAGTCCAACCCCCTGCCAAGAAGCAGGAATATTGCATTCAAATCACTCCTGACAAATGGCCATCCAGCCTCTGCTTAAAAGCTTCCAAAGAAGGAGCCTCCACCACACTCCGGGGCAGAGAGTTCCACTGCTGAACGGCTCTCACAGTCAGGAAGTTCTTCCTCATGTTCAGATGGAATCTCCTTTCTTGTAGTTTGAAGCCATTGTTTCACGTCCTAGTCTCCAGGGAAGCAGAAAACAAGCTTGCTCCCTCCTTCCTGTGGCTTCCTCTCACATATTTATACATGGCTATCATATCTCCTCTCAGCCTTCTCTTCTTCAGGCTAAACATGCCCAGTTCCCTAAGCCGCTCCTCATAGGGCTTGTTCTCCAGACCCTTGATCATTTTAGTCGCCCTTTAAAAATAAGTTCTTTGTATTTGAATGGAATTTAATAAGCACTTTAAATTGGACATGGAATTGAATAGGCAGCCAGTGAAAATATTTGAAAACCATAGCAAGGTGCACAAACCTAGCTATGCTAATCCAGATTCTGGCTGTATTGTGGATCCATTTGCTGACATTTTGAAATCATTTTCACGGGGAATCCTAATTACAAAAGCAATCACATTTTCTGAATTTTGACGGGTTGGCCAGTGACAGTCACTTCCATACAGTCTACTTGGGAGGTTTTAAAACATTGGATCACTAACTGTATGGAAGTGACTGTCACTGCCAAAATTTAGAAAAGATACTCCATATAGACAAGCTCATCTGGGCCTCTATTATTATAGGAGCACCCAGTGGTGCAGTGGGTTACACCATTGTGCCAGGAGGTCGGTTGTTCGAATCTGGGGAGCAGGGTGAGCACCTATCTGTCAGCTCCAGCTTCTCATGCAGAGACATGAGAGAAGCCTCCCACAGAATGGTAAAACACCCGGCATCCCCTGGGCAACGTCCTTGCAGATGGCCAATTCTATCACACCAGAAACGACTTGCAGTTTTTCAAGTCACTCCTGAACATGAAAAAAAAATTATTATTATTATTATTATTACTAATCTTCCTTTCCTCATGGCTTGAGGTTGGTTTGCAATATAGTTAAAATGCATAGATAAAATAAATACCATAAAAATACAAATATAAAAGCACATAAGAAAGATTAAAACACCAATACTAATAAAATGTAGGTCTTTCCTTGTATCTTAAATTTAATTTTAGCTGTTAAATCTCTTGCAACAGGTCATTCCACAGTTCAGGGGTAGCCGATGAAAAAGTCCTCTGTGTGACAGTTGCCAACCCTCAATCTAGGAGTATTTCCCAAACGGTGAACCTGCTCTTTCAACAAGAATGTAGCCTCACTCAGAACAAACATGGGATCCATTGACTCACAGTACTTTCAACTTCACAAGGTTCTGGTTAGGTTTATTGGCCCTTGTCCAGCCAATTGTCAAATCCAGACACTGATTCAGCAACTCCAGAGCCTCACCCAACTCAGATGACAAGCAGAATTACATCCAAGTTTCATCAGTATCCCTAGATGACCACACCATTTTAGATATAACAAAGCATTTAGTTTATGTGACCTTCCACTACTTCCCTCATTCTCTCACCTAATTTCACTGGGTTAAAAATAGAGGATTGCTTCTATTAAAATTGGCTTTGCACTGAATTTCTTATTCATGACAAGTCATTTTGAGATTCTGCACTGAGTCTTGTTGCTGTTGTGTGCCCTCAAAGGGTTTCCTACTCAGGGTAACATAAGTACTTTTTTTTTTGCAAGATTTGTACAGATATGGTTTTCCATTGCCTTCCTTTAAGACTGAGAAAATGACTTGCCCAAGATCACCCATTGGGTTTCTATGGCTGAGCAGAAATTGGAACCCAGATCTGCCAGCACTCAAACAACTATGTCACACTGGCTCACTCATTAGGAACACAGCCAACTTACTCATCAAGGAATGCTGCTACTGGAAAGGATGGTTTGTTTAGGGAAGGGAATATGCATGACCTGTGCACACAAAGTTTTGAACAGCTGAAAATTGCCT